AATGTTTATAGTATGGGGTGGGCAATGTGGCCAAAAATATTATCACAATACACTATTTACCACATTACTATTAATAGGTGACGATATATGTTAACAATTTCAAAATATCACAATTCATTCACAAAAAAAACGTATTTCTATTTATTTATTTTTTTATAAACAAGATGCTGCACAACAGAACTGCATTTAAAACATGGATGAAAAAAAAGATCTTGGTTGTGTGATATTAATATCAATATGTGAAAAATATTATTATTAATTAGATTTTGTATTACTAGTAGTAATACATTTTAGTATACAGTGAGATATTTCTGTCATAATTTCTTATAGCTAAACCAAACTTTTACCATTTGACGTGCAGATCTTTTAGTTTTAGTTTCAGTGTAAGATGAAGTTCATGTTCTCATGTCCTCATAAATTCAGTGGGCAGATGCTGAAAACAACTGTGAGCGTCACATATGTGCGAGTTTGGGTATCAGACGAAGCCGTGCAGTTCATTCACAGAAGTCACGTATTAGCGACATGAACTGACTGGCTGTTGTCGTGTTTATGTCTGCTGTGTGATAGGCTGTTAGATTAATCCATATCGGGTGAAAATGTCCTGAGCTTATCATCGTTGTCGTCATAAATTTTATCTCGATGGTATCATTTATCGCCCAGCCCTAGTTTATACAGCGTTTCCCATTAATAAACAAGATTGTGGCGGCCGGGCTTAGTCTAATCTGTCCCACCAGTTTCATAATGAACTGAAAATATGTTTAAACTTCTCACATAAAAGGAATAACATTGCCTTAGTTGTGCATTGTTTTAGTTTTGCTTCAGCTCTGCATGACTTTTGACTAATTAGAAACACTGATATTTTTTTAATTAATGATGTTACCAAAGTTATGACGGTTGTTAGTCTGATATGGTCAAAAGATGAATTTTTTTATAATTGATTTTCTGGCCAGGGAGATTATCCTACTGCTAATAACACCTTCACTATAGGCTTAAGAGATATAGCCAGATGATGGAAAGGATCTCAAGTTGACTCACTGAAGACGCCATTACTGTAGCTATACCCATTAAAAGAACCGATACGTCCTAGAAATTGAATTACAGCACAGCGCTGCAACAACATGAAATGACACTACCAATAGATAATGCTTGAACTCTGTAAGAGACCTATATGGCAATTTATCTGTTCAATAAAATACTTCACTCACCTGGTGAGTGCCACCAGTCTTCTTTGTTCAGCGGGTTTATTTATTTATTTTAAATGGGTGATTCAAGATTTACCACGCCAACCTTTCTCCCTCATTGTGACAATCAACCTATGCCACTCTTACACCATACATGTCAATGAAACTGCTCTCTATTTACAAATATGATGAGACACGCACAGGCAAGTTACATATAGCCTACGCCACTTCCAGTGAAAACCATCCAGCCTTGTCTAAAATATAAACACTTATAATAGGCTTACCATAGCGAATATAGGGTGATACAAAACTTTACCTTTAAATTTATGTACTAAGTATTAGATGATGGCAAAGGTAATCTAAATGAAAAAATAGTAAGCAACTCATAATATTGAATTTAAAAATAGGGGCAAGCATTTTGATTTTGAAAAAAAAAGTTGTGAATGAAATGATGCTATCACTCATCAGTGTCTTAAGATACAGCTCTCTTCTCTAGCTCGCTCTCTCTCTCTCTCTCCTCAGTTTTTTTCCCTTTCAGGGAACTCTTTTTTCCTCTGGAGGCAATCACTCACAACCCCTCCTCTGTGTGGTTCTCCACTCGAGACTTGAGCAGCTTTTCAACTTCATCTTGTCAATACGGGATAAGGAGTCTGCCTGAAAGTTCATTAATTCCTGAGTAACCTATGCTTCAGTTTTGCTAATACCCAGTTCTATTGATGTTTTCTTTCCCATGGAGTGGGCCAGGTTAACCCCTACACCCCACCCCAGGTCCCTGCCAGAAACAGCACATTGTCAAGCCCCACATTACGCCACAGAGATGTACGAGGGGCACAAATGGGGCATCATTATGGTCCGACCCAGTGCAAGGGAATGCTGGGATGGTTGTGTACCCAGACCCACCTGCCCTGGGAGACTCTACGCTCAGCCCTCGCCTTACACAGCTTGGGGCCTGGGCAGGATGTATAGGCCCTGACCCCTGAGGTCATGTTCCGTGTGCAAATTCAAAAGCTTGACATCTGTTGCCTGGCTTTTTGATCACGCAGAGAAAGAAAAGCTCAGACCCCTTGTCAGCTAAACACTTGTCCTACGTGAAATAATATCCCTGCAAGCCACCTAGGCCATAATTAAGGGGTTTTTGTTTTATTTTCTTTTGTTTTGTTTTTGTTTAGACCAATGAAAAGAGAATTGAAAGTAGGATGGGTTTAGTTTTGCTGGGAAAGGGGTCTGCTCTTTGTTTTACAGGACAATGCGTGTCCATAAAGCCTATGCAGGGAGGACTTCTGTCACGCTGGCCTTACCCGTATTCATACTGTATCATATTTGAAATGTGAATTTCTAAGGCCTCTAAATTATTAACATGGTCAAACACGGTTTACTACATGCCTTATGGTTGTTTGTTCATACTTTTTTTTGCAAGTAAAATGCCTTTTAGTATAATTCGAAAAATGTCCATTTGATACATTTTGCTTTGAAATCTTTAATGATTTTTAAAGTAAACACAAGAGTAATATTTATAATGGTTATATTCCAAATTGAACAGTTTAGTAGACTGAAGCAACTTAGCTGTATTTGTTTTAGAAAAAAAAAATCATGTTAAAATGTAAGTATACATCAGGTTTTTGCGGATTCTTAAAAACATCATTGTATTGCATTGCCGCCCATAAGTAAAACTACAGAGCTTTAATCCTAAAACTAAGCATTTTAATATAATCTTGAAGATATTTTACTGGGAGATTACATTTTATGTAAATAGTCTGCTATTGTTATAAAGATACGCTATCAGAATTTCATCTTACTTTTGGCAATATAAATAACAACTACCAAGCAGAATATTTTTGTGCAGGTTTTTTTTAAGCTCCATATTCTCCGATATCATAATACATTGGACATAAAAGTCTGGTGTATTAAATAAGATACAGAACAACACTTTAAAAAATGTAATAAGTATATATTTTTTTTCAATTTATATATATATATATATATATATATATATGAAGAGTTCAGATGCAAAAGCCTCTAAATGCCATTTGAAATTTTCTTCTTGAATGATGATTTTTATCAAACTTGTATATTTAAGTTCAGTAATTTCACTTAAATAACAATTAATAGGTAATTATCATTGCCATTTAAGTGAAATCACTGAACTTAAATATACAAGCTTGATAAAAATTATCATTCTAGAAGAAAAATGTCAAATGGCACTTAGTGGCTTTTGCCTCTTTGAGGCAAATATGTGTGTATATATATGAAGAGTTCAGATGCAAAAGCCTCTAAATGCCATTTGAAATTTTCTTCTTTAATGATGATTTTTATCAAGCTTGTATATTTAAGTTCAGTGATTTCACTTAAATGGCAAAGATAATTACCTATTAATTGTTATTTAAGTGAAATTACTGAACTTAAATATACAAGTGTGATAAAAATCATCATTAAAGAAGAAAATTTCAAATGGCATTTAGAGGCTTTTGCATCTGAACTCTTCATATATATATATATATATATATATATATATATATATATATATGTGTGTGTGTGTGTGTGTGTGTGTGTGTGTGTATATATACATATATATATATATTGTTTAAGTTTCAATCAATTGTTCCATTTAAAAAAAAAGAAAAAAGATGTTTAACTATTTTACGGGTTAAGCATTTTCCTCAGGCCCATATTTGCATTTTCACAGGGGATAATGCTTTCAAATCCACAACATTTTATAAGAATTCAAACTGCTTCAAACATTAAAATAGTTTGAAACTGTTAAATGCATTTGAATGCTTTTTACATCAAATACAGCATATTCAGATGCTAAACAAATGAGTCGCTTTGAATACCACTGTTTCTCACAATTTCATTTAAAACCCACCCGAATGTGTGAGAGACAATATGTATGAAAATGAGTTTTGGATCCAAGCTCCCTCTCTCTTCAAAAAAAAAAAAAAAAGTCCTGTTCGGTGAGGAACTTTCCCAACTGATGAGAGGCTTATTCTGTTTTAGGTGGGATAGACCAGCATTGTGGCTTTTGAAGGACCCTGTTTTTTGCTGCGGAGATGTTTAATAGTTTCCTGGCACAGTTGGCATGGTTACCAGTGGAGAAAAGCAGCGACTTAAACCTTGTGACTGAATCTCCGTGAACCTGCGATAATCTCCGGCCAATCTCCGTATTAACACCCAACTTCCACTCGATCTGCCTTCATGCCCCCATCCAGCCTCCCTGCACATGCTCGCTTCCAGGCGCCTCACAAAGGCTTTTGTATCGGGATAAATGGTGTAAAAACGGGCGCCCTTGGAATCATTTCCCATCAAAGCCCTTTTATTGCCAGACATGTGGCATTTGTCTTTTTAATTTAAAAAAGAAAATATCATGCAGTCTGTGTTGACTGCCGAGGACGTGCCGTGATTGTTCGGCACGATGCGAATGATGAAAATATAGATGAGGGGTTTAGCGTTCTTCCGTGGCGAGCTTACTGGCCCAGAAACTGTACGTAGGGCGAGTATGCCAGCCAAAGCCTTTAACAACCCCTGCCATGATTAAAACACTATATTAAAATGACATGGGTGGTGGAAAGGCATTCTTGCCCTCAGCTTCTGAACCAAAGTCTGCGTTATTTATTACCGGGGCCTATATTGACCTGGTTACATTTGCCATTTTCATTTCTGTAAACATACATGATTGCTTCAGTCTGACCGACAGTTTATGATCTTACTTTCAGAGTGCAACAGCCAAGTTTGTTTGGGCATATTCACATCCACATTTATTGAGAATGTGCACCGTCTTTAAATAAATCTGGTCATATTCAAAGTTTGTAACTGGGCACTTACATAGTGATGATGCTTGCTTGCTTGCTGTCGTTTGGATCTTAAATGGCGGAAGCACGTCAAGTCGAAACGGTCTCCATCAGCGGTGTCAACTGTCAAGAAGAGAAGATAAACATTTATATACATTAATATATCGGGTGGGTTTTCGTAATATAGTGTGTTACAGCATATGGTTGGTGAATGTACTGTGCTTTCCTCTATAGGTGCAGGACTGTCAACAACGGTGGACCGATAAGACATTAAGTAGGCCTCGTTTACACTGCATGGTTCAAGTGACCCAAATCCGATTTTTTTCCTCTTATGTGGCACAGATCGGATATGCCCGGTGGACGTGTAAGCAGGAAAAAAACGCATGGATTCCAATTTTCTCAGATCGGATTCAGGCCTCACTCATATGTGGTAATAAATCGGATATGAATCGCATTGCGTGTGCCATGTAAGCAGACAAATCGGATATTCCCCAGTAAATGTGAGTACATCATTAAAAAAGTGCACGAATATAGGTGTGATGGAAGACAAAGGACACACAAAGTGGATCAATGTGGAGGTTTCATGTCTTGTAAGTGTTTGGGGCGAAGAGCAGGCAAAAATGCAGGGATGTTACAGAAATAAATCCGTATTTGAAGACATTTCACAAGATATGGGGAGGCACGGTTTTAAGCGCTCGTGGCTATAGTGGCAACAAGGGCTCTCATCTTTTTTTTTTCTCTCTATGTACGAGACCAATGTTTTGATGAATTTTCAAAATATTTTGGAAAGAAAAACACTGTAATTTTATTAGCATCTGCATCAATTGCATTTTGTGCTGTTTTACTTAATTTTCCGGGTCAGAACGTCTACATTTGGTAGGTTCAGCATTGTATAGTGTAAAAATCGGATACGGATCACTTTTAAAAGATGATTTAGACTACCACCAAATTTACCGGAAGTGAATATGTCAACAATGCTGAATCCGCAGCGCGCGAGCGTAGATTGTTGAACGAATGGATGGGTCCGAAATCCCGTAGTCTCTTGAGTAGGTAGAAGACATACTTATTTTAAATAATTACTTCACGACTGATAACAATGATATCGGCTATAGTATGAGAGTGTGAAGTATGTAATCTGGACGTATCCACCGTGTTGTCGTGACCTACCGTTTTGCGTTGCTTCAGCTGCCATTGGGGCTGTTTTCACCTGGCCACTACATGCCTTTACTGTGACCGACCGTGAAAAGATGGTGTAAATGCCCTCTGAAACTAATTCGAGACGGATTTGAATCCGATCACTCAAACCACTTCAGTATGTTGTCTAGCTGGGTCGCATATTCCAGACGAAACTGGACAAGTGTAAATGCATTTGGTTGTTGAAACCACATGTAAAATTTTAATCCCGAAAATTCAAAAAAAAAAAATAATAATAATAATAATAAACAAACAAATAAATAAATAAATGTTTAGTAGGCCTAGTGTATGTGTCATGTTATAGTCTGATATGACCAAATGGATATGACGGCGCTACTGTCGCACGCATTACCGCAGCTGATATTCATCAAGCCAACGTGCAAACTATCGCAAATCAAAGTGAAAGTAACACACAATCATCTTCGGTAAAAAGTAAAGAAACGAAATTATCTTACCAGTGCCGTTGCAGCTCTATCTTATTGCAGTCTTTGATCTTGATTTTAGATGAAGATCAATTAATAAAATGCAGCTCATGGCTGTTGCTTTCGTTGACATGAACTCCATTAGCTACTGCATGGGAATTGAAGATCGGATTTACATCCGTTTTGCAAAATCACATTTATGTGACCAGGTGTAGGCCTATTAATGGAATCGTTTTGATAAATCAGATAACGTTAGCTATCCGATCTGAGAAAACAGAAGTGGTGTAAACAGCCTCAAACCCTCTAATGGCAGTGTGATTATAATTATTGTTAAAGTTTATCTCTTTTTTTATTTATTTATTTTATTTATTTATTTATTTTTTTATTGTGGGATAAAGTGTCCATCATATAAACACTTTAGAATCTCACTGGAAGTAGTCTGGGTACTTTTTTCCTACTCTTTACTGTGAATCAAATATTTTGTCTCATGTTTTTCGCTTACTATAGTGGTGTGATTTCGGATGCAGATAACTTAATTATGAGGTGATTATCAACTAACAGTTATTCACAAGCCATTTATTCCAGTTGCTTCAAGATTCAAATAAACAGGTGCATAAGGATTATTTACTTCCTTTTTATTTACTAAAATAAAGCTGTGTTTTGTTATCAGCTGTACTTTATAAAAGTAATGAAATTAATATAATAATTGTATTATTTGAATGAAACATTACCAATTTTTTATTTTTTTTTTCAATATAGATTATTTAAATACAGACAATTGTTCAGGTCAGTTATTGGACTGCAATTTAGCTGTCTCTTAAAAGGTCATTTAAACGTAATTTAAAGACAACACTTTTACAAGAACTAATATTTATCTCTAATATGCTATCTGTTTTTTGTTTTGTTTTTTTATCTGAAATTATCTCATCATTTGGCAACAGACTGAATGCTGAGGGCAATCTATATGCAATATGATCCAAGAATTGTATCCAAATATTTCTTTCTCCTCCTCCTCCTCCAAAAAATAAATAAATAAATTAATTAATTAATTAAAAAAAGTTGGTTAAATCATTAAGGAACCAGAATCATTAAGAGGGATTGGAACTGTTAAATTACTTACATCTCTACTGTCAACAATGTGTCCAGTGAGGGGTCGTGTCTGCACTGCACAAACACATATACACACTAACATAAGAGGAAAGAAGCAGTCAGAGCGAAAAACACCAGATAACAAGGACAAGTGGTCTCCTGCCGTCAGCTCAGTTCAGAGACAATACATGTCTGCTGCAAAGACATGTGTCTGTATTTCTTAACAAACAAGCGGACACCCGGAGGTGTGGGCAGGGTCTGATCAGCTGTCAGTCGGCCCTTGAAAAAGTCACAGAAATATACTTCAAGTATGCATTTCTACACTTGAGCCCTAGAAAATTGCGGTCACCTCTTTGACTTTTTGACTGTCATCTCTGTAAATAGTCTTTTCTCTTTTCTTGTTGCTTTATTTTTATTCCTTTGGGGGTGGGGGGTAAAGTTCTTTATGACAACGCCTTTCTTTCTCATCTTTGGCTTCACTTTGAATGTCACCAGGATTGACAGAATAATATGCACTCATCATTTTGCAGATGCAAAAAAAAAAAAAGAACTGTGAACACTGGGTACATTTTTGGGGGTATTTGCTTCTTTTTAATCAATGGAGAAAGACTGACATGTCCAATCATAATAACACATCAACTGCTAAATGGGCCTTTGCAATCACTGTCAGTTCCATTCCATTAGGGAGTCCTGTATGTACGGACATCAATCAGCTTTTTGTGGCGTTATTTATTCATAATTTTATAATTTAACTATTTATCTATTTATTCATTCTAAACAATTGTATTCTGCACTTTGACTATGCCCTTGCCTAATCAAACAATGCTGGTACAACAAATTGCTTGTGTACAGGTTGTCTAATTTTGCAACAATAAAGTTGCTTTTTTCACTAAGTTTACAGTTATTGTTTTGAAAAAAAAACTTTCTGATTCCTGAAAAGAAGTTAATCACGTGCAATCAATGATTTGGAATTTTATGCAGCAATAAAGAAACTGAATTCTGTATATCAGACAAACATTGTATACTTATTTTTTTTTTTTTCTAATTTCATGTTATGCTGTGGAAAAGCCTCTTCAGGACTTGTAACCCTGCATAAAATTGTATATAAAATAAATGATATGTAAAAATCAACTGTGGGAAATCTTGTATTATTATCTCAAATGAAGCAACCATGAAATAATTTGCCTTCATTTAAGACGGCATGCAATCCAATTTAAATATTGCATACTTTAAATCCAGGCTGATTCCTTTTTATCCTCTAGAAAAGAACATCCACTGGGTTACCCACATACTGGCAAACAGATAAACCCTGCATGAAATTTTAGCTAAACCATAACCCACTGTCTGTCTTGAAAGTTCATCAAAACTAGATCCTCAATATTCATAAGTCATGTTCCACTCACATTTAGTTTCTGTTCTCCTGTGGTACACCATTGAGTGTCAAAGCTTGCGAGAATTGCAGTGTGAATAATTCAAATAAAATTATATTAGAGAAAGATGTCAGGTTTTTTTTTATAAATACAATGAAAGTCTTCAGAGACCCTAAAGTGACATGGTCATGTTGAAAACATGAAACGGGAGAAAAAATTATAGTTCTCTCACAAAAGTATTGCGTTTTTCCTGAGAAACTTTGCATTCACTTGTAAAAGCACTAATATAGTTTTTCCTCCCACCTCATAGTATTTCCATCACAAAAGTTTTGTGAGCGAACCCAAAAGATTGTCAGAGTAACTTAGAATGCAATGCATTGACATATATATTTTTTTTTTCCCATCTCCTTTTTGTACCATAATCAAGTCCCTTTAAGACCTCACATTCAAAATATTGCCTTCTGTGTTCCGCAGAAGAAAGAGTTGCATACAGGTTCGGAACAATATTTAGTTGGAACAACATTTTTGAGTGAACTTTTAGATGATTTGAAAAGTCTAGATCAATAGAAATCGATAATCTTCATCAAATATTGACAACCAGAGTTCAAGTGGATGAAGACATAATGCATTAAGCATTGTCCAGATTGTAACAATGTATGTTGATAAGGGAAAAAGGAGGCAGGAACCGAAGAACGTTTAACACATTAATATGTAAATAAACACAAAACGAAAGTGAAAGCGGCAGCCGCACACACATAAACAAAACATAACGTCCAGGCCTGGTCCTCTCTCTTCCTTCACTGTCATCACCTCTCCTGTTAAGCTTCCGAAGCTCCTCCGTGAGAGATACGAGACCGGTACAGCGTACATGTGGCACTCATCATCAATCACGCCACCGGCCTCGCGCCGTTCTCTCATGGCTCTTGGCCCTGCCCTGTTCCCCACACAGATCACAAATACTAATAAAATGAGAAGCAGACATCATGCCAGCCTATGAAGTCTGCACACAGCACACCTCACTCCGATGGCCTTGGCCTTGTGCCCAGCT